TGACGTGCAGCCCTCCCTTTGCGGCGATTTTAGCGGCGGGCCAGCCAGGGAGATCGCACGGGACGGGACCCGAGTAATTGCTGCAGTGTAGCGCGCCTTCAATCCGGCTGGCAGCAACATGCTTACACCCGTGGTCGAATAGTCGTATCACTGCGCCTGCCGGGAATGAGTTCAAATATCCTTTCCTAGACGCGTAAGTAAGCGTATTTAGCTCCGACAGCAACGTTGCAGACCTCAAATAATGTCTTATTTTTAATCATCCTTATTACGAAAGGCAAAGACAGTTTTTCTAAAATATTTCCGCGGATTTTCTTCAGTCGCCGGAAATTTTGACGCAATATTTTCGCTCGTTTCATACCTCATTTTAAAAAAATGAATTTAATAAACCCAATCCGAGATTCTGAGTCGTTACAATGCGGGGATACACTTTCACTCAAATTGTGGTAAAAACGGGACAGAAAGTCAAGGATAATGAAGTGCAGTCCTCCCTTTGCGGCGATTTTAGCGGCGGGCCAGCCAGGGAGATCGCACGGGACGGGACCCGAGTAATTGCTGGAGTGTGGCGCGCCTTCAATCCGGCTGGCAGCAACATGCTTACACCAGTGGTCGAATAGTCGTATCACTTCGCCTGCCGTGAATGAGTTCAAATATCCTTTCCTAGACGCGTAAGTAAGTGTATTTAGCTCCGACAGCAACGTTGCAGACCTCAAATAATGTCTTATTTTTAATCATCCTTATTACGAAAGGCAAAGACAGTTTTTCTAAAATATTTCCGCGGATTTTCTTCAGTCGCCGGAAATTTTGACGCAATCTTTTCGCTCGTTTCATACCTCATTTTAAAAAAAATGAATTTAATAAACCAAATCCCAGATTCTGAGTCGTTACAATGCAGGGATTCACTTTCACTCAAATTGTGGTAAAAACGGGACAGAAAGTTAAGGATGATAACGTGCAGTCCTCCCTTTGCGGCGAATTTTCTTTAGTCGGCGGTTGTTTTAAAATTTGAATGTCTCGAGAGGAAGCCATTCTCAATGACAAATTACCGAAATGGAATTAAATATTATAGATGACAGAAATTTTGGGGACTTTTTTTAAAAAAATATCAAATCCTACTGTGGGTTTTAATTGAATACATACGTATATAACATAACTCTTATGAAAACAAGTATTTAGCTAAAATGAAACGAAAAGAATGACGAAACAAAATAAACGGCAACTTAAGTTGATTCGATGGACCCTATATTTTGTGTCAGAACGACATACGATATATCGCATCGATTGTTTTCAGTTTTTCAGCAACTCGTCATTTTCCTCGAATTTTGAGATCGCTTTTCTGTTGTCAGGAGATTAAAGAATTCACTCACTAATTTTGACAAACAAATTCAACGTAATAAACGCGTGGTTTTTTCAAAGAAGAAATATCGCATTCGATATTGATATCGAAACTGCACTCGAATGCGATATTTTTCCTCCAAAAAAACCACGCATTTATTACGCTGAATTTTTTCGTCAAAATTGACGTATGAATTATTTAGTCTCCTGATAACAGAATTGAAGACACCGCACCAAGAACAGCCTACAACTGGAAACCGCATTTTGAGAAAAACGCAGTTTTGTTTTTGATGTACTGCGCAGACTTTTCTATGCAGGTACCCTGTTTTGGTGTTTTTGGGTGACCTTACCCTTCTATTGAAGGATGCCGGGTAGATTTTGCGATACATTTTGGGTTTATACTCTCATACATTTAATTTAAAAAATCGGTTTATAGGGCATTATTACGCCCAACAGTCATTTTGGTGGCACTATGAAGTATAAATCATTTTAATCACTTATGATTAACGCAAAATGAAAGAATATCGATAGTGAGTAAAGGAAGGGGTAATTAGCACCTTTTAAGCCCGTTTATAGGTCGTTCTTGCACCCATCGATCCAGAGGCCTGACTTAACTCGGAAAAAAAGGTTTTTTCGACCTCGAGCCGTTACCTATCTATATTCTATCGCTACCACAGCATAGTCCAGGGTACGTAGAATCGGAAAAGCAGATGGGCGTAATAACGACCTATACGCCTGTAGGCTGTTCTTTGTGCGGTTTCCCCAATTGCGATCTCAAAATTCGAGAAAAATGACAAGTAGCATAATAAATTGAGCCGATGGATGCGATACATCGCATATCGTTCTGACACAAAATATAGGGTCCATCGAATCACCTTGCGATAAATTTTCATCTTCTGACATCTTTGATCGATTATATTAGGATTAAGTTCATATTTATAAGGTACATTCCCTCGACAAACGAGCGGGGTTTTTTTTAAAGTACTGTTGATCAAATCGGTATGTACATTGATTTACGGCGATTCACTTTCTTGTTTTTCGATCGATTCATGTCGATGGAATCGACACCGGTTTTTTAAAAATTGGTCGATCTACTCACGTTTTCATTTTTCGATAGATTCATGTCGATCGAATCGACGCCGATTTTTTAATAAGTTGTCGATCGATTCACGTTTTCATTTTTCGATCGATTCATGTCGATCGAATCCATACCCTCCGTCCTAGAGCTTCGGCGAAAGGTACAAATCTATTTTTATCACACCCCTCTTGTTTTCGCTAAGAGGAATGCGCGTCGCCCTCGCTTGATTTTGAAGTTTTTCAGGACGTAAAAAGTATGACTATAATCGGTTGTTTTAGCGATTGATGATGGGTCGCTGTCAGTTGCGGTCACAGAATCGTGTTTTGATGCTGTAGGTGCTTTCTTTTGACTAAATGCATGTTTTCATACCTTAAAAGCAAGCAAGCAGGATATTTTTTCTCTTCTTTTTTTTTCCGTAGTAAAAAATGTAGCCGAAGACTGTGACAAGGGAAGAGAATTTCGGCTCTCGGTGAATTATTATCCTTAATTATTCCTTGAAAAGTTGAGTTCTGATGAGAATAAGGGTGAAACGCAACTTTATGGGATTTGCTCATTTTTACTTGGAACGGGTCAGTTGCGCTGGTCACAGAGTTGTGTTTTGATGCTTGATTCTTATAGATTAGCTAAAAATAAAAAGATCTGTTTAAACAGCGACTTTCTACGTTCAATACTAACCGAGATGTATCGACTTGAAAAGCTGGGTTTTTGCCGTCATCCACCGCGGTAGTGACATCCTTACCTCCATCTGCGTTTCACGTTAAGGTACCTGTGTTAATGTGCGTCTTACTGACTGATGAAAGCAAGGTGGAAGAAACCAAGGGTGTCACTGCCGCGATGGATGACGTAAGAAACCCGACTTTTCAAAGGGCGATATCTCGGTTAATATTGAACGTAGAAAGTTGCTCTCTTGATGGATCTTATTGTTTTTAGCTAATCTACAAAGAATCAAGCATCAAAACACGATTCTGGGACTAGCGCAACTGAAGCAGTAAAGGTGAGGCAAAGCCCATAGAGTTGCGTTTCACCCTAATTCTCATCAAAACTCAACCTTTCAAGGAATAATTAAAAATAATCCACAGAAAGCCAAAATTCTTTCCCCTTTGACGTAATCTCTGTCATAGTCTTCGGCTACATTTTTCACCAAGAAAAAAAAGGACGAGAAAAAATATTCTGATTAATGCTTGCTTGCTTTCAAGGTATGAGACCTTGCATTTAGTCGATAGAAATCACGTGAGACTTGATTACAATGTAACTCCCACGAAAGGTAATTTACTTTTTAAATGGACGTATTAAATTGCAAACAGTCCAACCACATCGAACGTTGTCTACTTTACTCTCACGTTTGATTTTTTTACAATAAAATTAGCATCACTCTAATTTTCAATTTTGTGAATATATCTTTTCCAGCACAAAAAAATTACAAAAAGTTTCAAGGCATAAAGATACTTGGCTCTCTATGATGAGAAAAGTAAAACTTAAGATTACTTAAGTCAATGAAACTTAAGATTACTTAAGTTAATGGAACTTAAGATTACTTGAGTTAATGAAACTTAAGATTACTTGAGTTAATGAAACTTAAGATTACTTGAGTTGGTGAAACTTAAGATTACTTGAGTTGGTGAAACTTAAGATTACTTGAGTTGGTGAAACTTAAGATTACTTGAGTTAATGAAACTTAAGATTACTTGAGTTAATGAAACTTAAGATTACTTGAGCTGGTGAAACTTAAGATTACTTGAGTTAATGAAACTTAAGATTACTTGAGCTGGTGAAACTTAAGATTACTTGAGTTAATGAAACTTAAGATTACTTGAGTTGGTGAAACTTAAGGTTACTTAAGTTGGTGAAACTTAAGATTACTTGATTCAATGAAACTTAAGATTACTTAAGTTAATGTAACTTAAGGTTACCTAAGTTAATAAAACTTAAGGTAAGGTAAACTTAAGTCAATACAGCTTCACAAAATACAATTTGAATAAACTCAATGGAGATGTTGCATGTGTAAGGAATTTGCGATTTGACTGTTGATTCTTATGTAAAAGTTCGCGAGAAACACGATGGTGCAACTGGTTTTCTCTGAAATCAACTCCCAAGCTGAAAAAAAGCTCTCAAGTTGAAGCCAAAATGGAGGAGATATCCCACCCTACCCTGAGAGTCAACGTCTACATTAAGACAAACTCTCCATGCAAAGATAGGGAGCAAATACATTAGCAGTGATGCCGTGTTTTCAGTTTTGGAGGCCCCAAATAAAGTGGCAACCCTGCCAATGTATTTGCTCCCTATCTTTGCATGGAGAGTTTATTTTGATGTAGAGGTGGACTCTCAAGGTAGGGTGGGATATCCCCTCCATTTTGGCCTCAACTTGCGAGCTTTTTTTGAGCTTGGGAGATGATTTCAGAGAAAACCAATGGCACCATCGTGTTTCTCGCGAACTTTTACATAAGAATCAACGGTCAAATCGCAAATCCCTCCCACATGCAACTTCTCCATTAGGCAACCCGAAATACAGTTAGCCTTATTTCCGTTGAATTCGTCCCAATAATATTCTTGTGTGTCTAAATAATTACTGAATTGTACTTTTTTCCATCAGGTACCTGAAGTGGCAAGCCAACAATGTCCTTTCAAGTGGACAGCGTCGAGCTGGTGCACGATGGTAAGTCTTTAGACCAGGATTCACCTCACATCGACAGTATTGAGTTCTCGGGTCTTTCGAGCATGGACGGGTCTCCAGAACTTGAGAAAGCTCCAGCAAATAGCGGTGAGTTAGCGATGCTTAAACCTCTAAACCAGAAAGCAGTCGTACTTAAAGATGCGAAGTTGGTAGAGCATATTGAGTCCCTGGGCAAGGGAACTCCTTGTCCGGACATTAGGAAAATCGAGTCTCCAAATCGGAAAGTGATGCCGGTGAGTTTTTCAGCGAAGACCATCAAGTCCCCAAAGGAAAATGTTCCTCCTAGTTCCACTCGGTTCAGCGCTAGAAATATAGACACTTCGAATCAGGTTAATCCTCCCAAGAATGCTGCGTTAACAGATAGCACCAATTCTCCAAGTCGGAGAGCACCCGCCAATTCTCCAAGTCGGGAAGCCTTCACCACCTCTCCAAACCAGAAAGCCCTTTTGGGAAAATTCTTCGGGTCACCGGACATCAGAACCGCCCCAAATCACATAGTATCAGATGTTGTTGAGTCAACGGTCAAAACTCAGTACCCCAAAGAAGAACCGATAGCAAATGCTGTTGAGTTCTCTATAAAGCTTTCTGAAGTACTGAATAATATCATGAATTCCCCAACGAAGGATGGAGACGACTTCATTATATTAGATGACCTAGATGATCTCGGCGAGTCTCCTGGAATGAAAATACGCACCATCAAGATTTCGCAAAACTCTGCACCTTCAACTGATTCGATGGATGTTGCGCCGTTAGATGTTACCGCGTCATCACTTAAGGAAACAACCCCGGTAAACGTCGTTGAGCTGGCGGAAAATATCATCTCAAATGATCCGACGGACGTTACGCCGTTAGATATTACCGCGTCATCAACTAAGAGAACAACCCCGGTAAAAGTCGTTGAGCATGCGGAAAACACCATGCCCTCAAATCAGAATTCAATGGATGTTGCGTCGGCGGATGTTTCCGAGCCATCAATTAAGAAACCAACCCCTGTTCAAGTCGTCAACATTCAGTCTCTCAGGCAGACCTCCGCAGTTGAGACAACGGAAAACACCACATCCTCGAATAATCCAATGGATGTCGTGGAGATAGACATAATCGAGCCATCGCCCAAGGAAACCACCCCTCTAGAAATCGTCGATTTGGCGACCCCCCCAAGGGTGGTAAAATTGACGGAAACAGAACGCCCTTCCACCTCAACTACACCAACCCCCCGTTGCGGGAAGAAGAGATTGATCCGGACACCGACCTCCGTTTTGGGCGCGAAGAAAAGAGTCAAGACCGACAAGCCGTTGATTGGGGCTTCAGCATCCATTTTCAAGGCCAAGGAACGAGTCAAGCCCGAGAAGCCACCGGTCCCAAGCTGGTTTCGGAACGTGTCTTTCACCGAAATCGGGAACATCACCGGAGGGAGAAGGGTCGTCAGTGTGAGGGGGAAGATCATCTTCAGCTCGCGCCCTCACCGTTCCGGCGGAAAGGGTCTCGAACTGTACTTCGACGTAGCCGACGAGACGGGAATCATCCGCGTCTTCGCGCACGATAAGGTAGCCTTCTTCTTCAAGAAGCAGATCGTCGTCGGCAAAACTCTCCAGATGATCCGCGCCGTCGTCCACCCCAGGCAGCCTCTCGTCAATAACCTCGACCATCCCAGCGAGCTGCACTTGGACGAGTACACGGACCTAGTGTGGGAGGTCAAAAGCCGTCTTCTGAAAGCCCTGGACCTGGATATCCGTTTCGTGGCGTACGAGGATGTCGAGTCCTTCGGCGCGGACGAATTTTTCGACGTGACCGGAACCGCTCTCCATTTCCGCCTTCACACCGAGGAAGGTGAGAGGAGCTGCATAACGATCAGGGACGACAGAGGGTACGAGTTGGATGTCACTTATTTCGATTGGTATATTCCTACCCATGAAAGCATGCTCGGGCTGAGAATCGATATCCTGCGGTGCCGGTTCAATCACGTTGATCGCATAGTCGATGCAACCGGGAGCCATGTCAAAATCGACGGTCGACCCGTGAGAGCGTACTATAGTTCCTATCTAGACTTTTTCTAGGCTGTCTCTTTCGTGCCGAGTGTAGAGTCCCTTTATACTGAGAGTCAAGACAACACCCCTTATGGAGTCACAAACGGGAATAAAGATTACAGAAATTGAACGTTCTTTGTAATCTTTGATCGGCCCATTCTCAAATTCCTTTTTCCGTTCTTTCTCTTATTCAGTTTATTCCTCGCCGAACCCGTAATTCCCTGGTCCATTCCAGATTATAATCTTTGCAATCGGTGAAAATGTAATCTTTATTCCCGTTTGTGACACTGTGAAGGCCTAAAATACGGGAACCAATCAGAAATGGATTCACGTTGTCTTGACTCTCAGTATAAAGGGACTCTAGTGCCGAGTGGAGCCCCTTTACACTGAGAGTGAAGGCAATGCGAATCCATTTATGATTGGTTCAGTGGCGTGGCTCGAATTGCGATGTATCGATTGTTCAGCCATTTAAACCTGTGTTAAAGAATCGATTTCTCAGGTGTTCGCTGCAAACACCCCGTTAATCGATCCTTTTCGATGGATTTAAATGGCGTAACAATCGATGTATCGCAAAGCACGCCACGCCACTGGATTGGCTACCGTTTTTTAGGCCTTCACAGTGGCATAAATGGGAATAAAGATAACATTTTCACCAATGTAGATGTTGCATGTGTGAGGAATTTGCGATTTTATTTAAATGTTCGCGAGAAACATGATGGTGCCACTTGTTTTCTCTGAAATCAACTCCCAAGCTCAAAAAAAGCTCTCAAGTTGAGGCCAAAATGGAGGGGATATCCCACCCTACCCTGAGAGTCCACCTCTACATCAAAACAAACTCTCCACGCAAAGATAGGGAGCAAATACATTAGCAGGGTTGCCGTGTTTTCAGTTTTGGAGTCCCCAAATAAAGTGGCAGCCCTGTCAATGTATTTGCTCCCTATCTTTGCATGGAGAGTTTGTCTTGATACAGAGGTGGACCCTCAGGGTAGGGTGGGATATCCCCTTCATTTTGGCCTCAACTTGAGAGCTTTTTTTGAGCTTGGGAGTTGATTTCAGAGAAAACCAGTGGCACCATCGTGATTCTCCATTCTCGCGAACTTTTACATAAGAACAACAGTCAAATCGCAAATTCCTCACACATGCAACATCTCCATTGCAAAAATTATAAACTGGAATGGGCGAGGAATCGAGGGTACAAGGAATCAAGGAACAAATGGAATGAGTGAGGGAACGGAGACAGGAATTCGGGAATGGGTTGATCAAAGATCATAAAAAACGTCCGATTTGTGTAATCTTTATTCCCGTTTGTGATATCCATATTGCCGCGTTGTCTCAACTCTCTATAAAGGGACGCTTGTGCCAAGGGCTCCGCTGCCGTGCTAAAGAAGATCGCCGTATGAGCCTTTAGACATTGTCAAGTTTCCTTTAATGAAAACCGAATTTACTGAGAAAATGGTGAGTATTTTTCCAAAATTTTCAGACAACTTGTACGCAATTTAATATAAAATATCTGAAAATTTCAAGGAAAGATACGCATGAATGTCAAGGGAAATTTGGCACCTCTCATACGGCGCTCCTCCTTAGCACGACAGTCCGAGTGTAGGTTTCCCCTCGAAATCGAGACATTTATTTTAAGAATTCGTTTTCAAATTAATTGCTTAAGGCGGCAATTCACTGGGAAAAATGGGACCTCCTTCGAGTAGAAGTATTCTTGAATTTGCCTCCAAGATTTTCTTCCGAATCAAGGCGGAGAAGTTTACATCAAGAAGACAATAGGCTCATATTGAAGAGAATGTCGCTCATGTCGACGGAAAACCTGCCTGATTCAAGCCATTTTTTTCTTGATGCAAGAGGAAATCTTCCTGATTGCAAATTCAAGAGTACTTCAACAAATATTAATAAATGAAGTCACTTCCTACCATAATGTAGTTATCTGCTATCTTTTTTTTCCAACCTGAACTTTTAACAACTAAAAGCTTGAAGCAGTAGGTTGCTAGCAATTTTTCTTAAATGGGCCTGTTGCAAACTTTTGCTAGAGCAAAAATAAGAGTTGTTTCTTATAGATAATGCCTCAAAAATCACGATGAGCGCATCGGCAAAGTCTGAAATGCACTCATAACTTCACA